GTCTTCGACAGGCCATCCGTCTTTGAGCGGAAAGCTAGTCGGTGCAGCTAGCCGTCTTTGAACGGCAAAGTAGCATTTAGACAGTACTTATCATCGTGCTTGTATAAAAATATTTTTTTTAATCTTTAAACAAAGAATGATGTCTAAGTTCGTCTTCGACAGGCCATCCGTCTTTGAGCGGAAAGCTAGTCGGTGCAGCTAGCCGTCTTTGAACGGCAAAGTAGCATTTAGACAGTACTTATCATCGTGCTTGTAATGTATTCGGTAAGCAAAAAATTGTTGGTTTGTTGTTTTGTTTTTAAACAAATAATGATGTCTAAATTTGTCTTCGGTAGGCCATCCCGTGGTGGGGTAGACGTCGCTGTCTTTGGTTTGAACACATATTTTTTTATAATCTTTTAGCCGGTATGTGGTTGTCTTTTATTTCACGGAACCTTTATATAATAATTCGATGTATGTTTTCCAGATTTCACTCCCCTGGAAACAAAAGCATCTCGCGTAAGTTGAGTAGAGAAGCACGTGGTCTCAGTGTCGACGTCGCGTGGACGAAATCCACTATAAATGGTAAACCGGAGTTTTCTTAATTGTTTAACAGCAACATACAAGATATGTAAATTGATAGAAAAAAGAGAATTTATCATATAATTATGTATGAAATACCTATATTCATATCAGTTAATGTCTCTCACAGTACGTGAAAATATCATGTTGTTTTATATGTGTAAAATAAGGAGTTATGATTATTGAATACTTCGTATAAATACATGCAGGAATGTCGAAAACTATCGATATTTTGTCCTCAGTTACAATTGTTGTTTATACTTTCAGATTCAATGCATCAGTACTGGAAATCTCTAAGGGATGACAAAACTAGGCGACAAAACCAGAAGTTTCAGTTGCACAGAACAGGACTCCGTCAACAACAGCGATTAAAGAGAGTAAGTCATAGAAGATTCAACCAACGTCAATGATAGCCTGCGTAGCGGCTCTTGGGGGACTGGGGAGAGGACAAAAGGGATGGGGGGGAGGGGAAAAAGGGAGAGCCTGCAAACAAAGCCGCCTCGAATGACTCAACTACGACCATCAAACGGTCGTAGTTTGTGATTGGCTAAGACAGAAGTATAGCGCGAAAACAAAATGGCGTCTCGGAGAATGTGTTTGAAACTTATTTAAGCGATGCACTATCGAAATTGGAGAGCTCTGGTTTTAAGTTTTGCCTGAAATCTGAACAAAAAAAAGCTATAGAAACTTTATACTCTGGAAAAGACGTTCTCGGAGTTCTTCCAACTGGCTTTGGAAAGAGTCTAATCTTTCAGATTCTGATTTTGGTGGCTAGTGAAGGAGCGGTTCGTGAAGGAAATACTAGTAAACAAAGCAAACCTACAATATTAGTGATTTGTCCTCTTCGTAGTCTGATCTGTGATCAACTAAAAGAAGTCCAGGACCTCGGAATAACAGCTTCTTCGTTGCCAGAAGCTAGCACAGAAGACATTAATCAAGGCAAATACCAAATTATTTACTCGTCTGCCGAGCATGCTACTGACCAAAAATTCCTACAGTCAACTCTAAAGACAGGACCGTTCCATGACAGTATGGTCGCATTGGTAGTTGATGAAGCTCATATGCTAGAAACCTGGACTGGAAGAAGGTATTTTGAAAAAAGTGCTTATGTATAGGGAAACGAATCTAAGCGATTTTACGAGTGATTGCATTTGTTCAAACTTCGGGTTTATTAGCTTGAATCACTTGAAATGTTCTTACATCAGACACAAAAATTATCGAAAAGAGTGTTTTTGTTTAATTATAAGTATTTCTTTAACAGTGCCACTGACAATTACTTCTGGTGTTATATATCTCACCATTAAGCACAAAAGTAAGCTCATAATATTGTAAGTCTTGCTGGCATATTATAAGCTTTGACCTACGGTAGGTGTTTTTTAATAACACAGAAAAACTGGAAATGCTGGTGAGAAGTTGAAAGTCTTCAGAAAAGCCTTTGGAGAACTGGCAATGTTAAGATCATTTTGTAAGAAAGGTATGACAATGGTGAACTTTTGAACTCCTGTTTATTTACCTACTTACATGTATAAATTTTGAGTATTTTTGGCTATCAATTAGTACATAGTGTAAGCTTATTATTTTGGTTTGATAGAGTACAAACATTAAAACTGTGCAACATAAATACCACTAAATACTGCTAAATTATGCTAGTTCTATTCTTTTCTATAATTTTTTATAACACTATTTTGTAGAAAATAGTGGAATGTGTTGTTTGTACTCTAGCCACTCCTGAATTTTAATAATAATAATAATTAAAATTATCCATATACAAGAGCTGTATACCACTATTTACTTAATCAAGGTACTCCCATCTTGGCACTTACTGGAACTGCTGACAAAACAACATCCGATCTAATAAAGAGAGATCTATTGCTTAAGGACCCAGTGTGTTTGACTGTGAGCCCCGAAAGAAAGAATATCCGATTCAGTGTCAACGAAGACGAAATGTTTGACCAACTTTCATGTCTTATTCAAATAATCAAAGAAACGTCAAAAGAATGCCCTAAAACTCTCATCTTTTGTACAGCAAGAAATGATATAGCAGCAGTTTATAATTATCTGATGTTCAAACTAGGACACCATGCCTATTATACTTCTACTGATGGAAAGAGAGAGTCCTTGGTTGGAATTTATCATTCCAATTCTTTTGAAGAACAAAAAGAAAGGATTTTCTCTGACCTCAAATGCCAGGGACATAAGCGCATAGTGGTGGCAACATCAGCGTTGAGCATGGGAGTAAATTTTATTGAATATCTGAGAGGATATTTTTCTACATTCACCTTCATGATTATGGTGTGACACAAAAAATATATGTTTTTAAAACAAGTTTTATCATTTGGCATGTCAAAAAAAGGAAAACTCCAAAACTCACACATAAGCAAAACTTTTAAAGTCACTATTTTTGAACATACTCAACAAGCTAAGTGAATATGCAGGTTTTACACCAATCATTGCAGTGGGTTGCAGTTTTGACATTTTTAACATGCCAACTGGTAAACCTCAATTCACAACAAATCAAAATTATTTGAGTCACATCAACAATCACAACATGATTTAGGTGAATCTCTGCAAAATGTGCTTTGGTCCATCAATCACAACAAGATGTACAATATGTTAGCACTCCTTCACATAGGCCAAAAGGACACCCTCTTGTCAGAACAAATAGAATGAGGAGTATACCAGCAGATCTAAGCCTCTTTCTATTTTTTTATGACACAACAGAATACCGTTTATGCCAGTGTGAACAAGAGTGGACTTTAGAAAACTACAACTAATTCATTGTTGGAAACCATATACTGATTCCCAAAGCTTTAAATGGTCTTTGATCCACTTGTGAAGATCTCGATAATCCAGTTTGATGATATTAGCACCAAATTCAGGAAAGGCTTCGTAGCCCTTTCGACCTGGCGTGAATTTGAATGCTTTGGTGTTAACCAGGTCAGAAGTGATTTGGGTGACAGCTTCTTCTTTATGTGGGTTTGATCGGCGCCCCTCTCTTTGTTCAAGTTCGCAGTCTTTATCTACAGAGGAAATCATCATGTCTTGAAGCTCTAGGGAAGATGCAATTCTAGATGCGTTTTTCTCATTGAGGTTGGCTCCTAGTCCCTTCCACAGGGTTTTTAGCAGGCGGTTTTGCTGTTCTTTTCTGAGATCTAAAGGTATGTTCTTTCCCTTTCCACCATGGTGATTGTAAAATCGATTGAACTTTAATCTAAATGCTTCTGACGTTGTTAAAATATAATTAATTTTGGTCAGATAAAGAAGAACAGCATAGGCATATTTAGTGTGACCAAAGCTTTTAAATAACAACAATGCCAATTTGTACAACTCATACAAACGTTCGCCATCTCCTTCCTTGATACAGTCATTGAATTCGAAGAGTACTAATCCAAATGCCAGTTTGGCTTGGTGATAGTTGAACACAAAATCTTGCTTTGATGTGGGTTTGCTTTCTGAATCTGGTTTTGGTTTATCATCTTGATGGTCATTATGAACTTTTGATTCATGACTGAAATTGACAATAACATCAAGGATAATGATAATTGGTATTAATGTATTTAATGAGAAAGTCTCTTTCACCATTGGGTGCTTTTCAAGAGAGTCCTCATACTTCCCCCAATATCCATCCTTAGGGAATTGTTAGTTCAAGGATATATTGTACTAGCTTCCAGGTTTTTTGTCTTGAATTTTCAAAATAAGTTAATGAAGTATGATGAACACCCTCTAAGTTAGTGTTATAAATTATTGGACTCATTACTTACAGTTCTTATTTATTGATAATTTAGTGTTTTCAGTGTTTTTGTAAAATAATGAAAAATAGTAGTCAACAAAAGATGTCTTCCAGAACCATTAATTGTTAATTAATGCACCACAGAAAATGAAATTATAGTAGGTTAAAATGACAAAATTACGCTCACTTATTTCTGGTTGCTTTCGTGCTGTATACCGTGTTGCATCCTTTTCGACAAAAAAAGTATCCAAAGGTATCCCGTTCATCTTCTTCATAAGTAGAAACTGTGAGGTTATGCTTGTTTATTTCATGACTGCAAAAATACAACATAAGCCACATGATACCATGTTTATTTACACTGATTTATGGTACATGTGAACTTGTTTTTTTTTTTTTTACAAATTTCTTGTTTGACACACTAAAACTAAGACTTTCAATGAAACATATTTTGTCTATTGACCTTTTCAATCATTGCTACATTTAAGCTTACAAACTCTTTGATGACCAAATTTTTGAAGTCTCTATTGTTTGCTTTAATTGAATTCACAAGATATCGATTGTTATTGATTGCGGTTGAGGCGAAGTTGTGTTTACTTGGCATGGGGATTGTTATTATTGCTTTTTGGCACTTGCGGTGATTTTACATAGTTTTGGGTGCTGAATGGGATTTATCTCAATTGCTGGCGCTATCCAGAACCGAAGTTAAATTAACTCATTGTCAACAGATGTTGATTTGTTGATTTTTTAATAAAATATAAAAGAAAAAAAAAACTATATTCATAAATCAGATACTCAAAATTGTATTTGCCAAGTAATTATAATATCGTTCTTTATTCGTCTACACAATCAATCTTTGAGTTGTGTTGCCATTGGCGGCTTGATTTCTAACCTTACTCTACCAGAGTGAAACATGTAGCTTTTTTCACAGCCATTTGCTCTACACTTGAAAGGTGACTGATTATTTTCCAAATTGAGAGTCTCATCAGCAATATCAATTGCTTCTGACTGAAATGCAAATTCTCTACATTTGTCATGTAGCCATTTTCCTCGCTGACTTTTTGGTTCATGACTGTCTGGGAGGTCTATATTTGGCTTATCTGTTAAAAAAGTTGTGACAATGTCAGAAATGAATTGCATTGCAGAAGTCACCATATTTGGAATGTATCTCATGTGAGCAATCAATGTAATGTGAGCATTCACACATTTGTGTGATTTTCATGATTTACCTGCTCTAGTTTTTGCCATGTACATGTCATGTTGTGTTTTCATTGATGATCTCATTTATTTTTAGTTTTTTTTTTAGTTTTGCCATTTTTCCTGTCAAATATCTCTTCAACTGTTTAAAACATTATCCACTTGGTCACAAAGGTTTTAGAAGAAAATTCAACACAGTCATATAGCTGTGTAGCAATGAAAATATGAACTTACCATCCATTTTTGTCACCCCCATTTTTTCCATGAATGCTGCACAAATGTGCCCTTCTATTTCCCTGGTGTGAAATTCGCTGTACTCATTGTAGTGATTGTGAACATCTTTGGAAGCATTTTTTTTCCCAGTCCTGTACATGCTAGCCATAGAGGTGCCTATTTCATTTAACGAGTCATGGTTGACAAACAGCTTGTTCTCAGCCTATGAAATAGAAAATGTTGTCTTAATATTCAATCATTTCCAAATTAATCAATGTTACCCATATGCTTGTACAAGTACAATCATAACGTAAACCATAAAAATTAATGACTAAGTAACATAAAATTGACATTTTCAAAATCCTTTGTTTACTTTTTGTTAAATTATATATCATTAATAATATAATTATCTGCATTTAAAAGATAATTATGTTATTGGTAACTTACTTATATTACCTTGTATAAAGTAAATTTTGCATGCCAGTCAGCAAACTCTGGTTCAAGGCCCTCAATTCTCTCACAACTATTATCTCCCTCCTGGAATGTCCATTTCACATTTCTAGCCCTTTCTTCCAGCAACTGGTCGCCATGAAATGGCACAGTTGAAACAACATCCTTACCATCAGCTGATAACGGCACATACTTAGATTGATTTTTTTGCATCAGCTGAGCCATTTCTCCTGCAATGTTGGGGTTAAAGAACTCCACGTCCAGGCAACACTGTAATAAATAAGTCATTGTATTTTTGAGTTAAATTACAGTTAGGACTGATAATTATTTCCTAATTACAATCCTCATATAGCCTTTTTTGTTTGTTTGTTTTTGTATTGTTTTGCTTTTGTGTGTGTGTGTGGGGGGGGGAGGGGGGGGTTGCATGCTATTTGTAAGTAGGGAATGAAATGGATACTTTGGCAGGTAAAGCACCTTGAGTAGACCTATGTCATATACTCACAGATACAGACTTCTTGCTCATTTCTTGGGAAAATTGATGTGGGATATGCTGTATTACTGTATCCTTGAGAAAGGAGAAAGCATCAAGGTACTTGGTAAGGACTAAGGACCGCCATTCTATTGAGTAGGTTTTCCTGGACTTTAGCATCTGGTAGTAATTGGATGAACTGCATTTTAGAGCTTGTTTTATTAGTTTCTGGTGAATGGTGAGATGGCAAAGCACGGTCCAACAGAGCAAATTGGTGTGTCCAGTGTATAGATCTGTTGTCCTTTCCTTTACCCTGGATACGAGACACCACTTCCAAATCAATGTTATCTGCCACAATTCTATAAAGAAAGAAGTTTAAATAGTTGAATACCAAACACATATTCATTGATGATGAATCTATTGTGATGATACTATTTGAATATCATAAATGAATGATTATTATGCAAATATAATTATAAGATGTGAAAATGGTTATTAGGTTTACAAATAACATAGGTTTTATAACAGTGTACTTACTTGTAAAGGGGGAGTTTTTCTCTTTCCAACCTTGCAATTTCATTCAGTATTAACTCTTCAGGGCACATGAAGGATCGAATTGTGGGCTTTTTTTCCAATGAAGACTTCACTTGATTATAGACATCGGGTGTGTAAGACTTATAACACTTTTAATGATTAAAATCATTTCTTCGCTGAAATCAACATTCCATTCCAAATCCATGGAGTCTTCATCGAGATCATGTGAAGTTTGGTGTGTTAAAGTCTCCTTCAGAAGGTTAACACTCCACTTGTTGTGACGAAATATGTGTATTGCGTGACCGTCACGTGGACGGTGACGTAGAGAGGGACCGCATGGTATGAAAGTCGAAAATGGAGTAGTGTGACTTATGAGGTTTTTCGTRAAAATAAAAGCATTCGTTCGTACATATTTCTGGTCCTTCGAGCCGGATCCGCGGCAACCATGGAAGCTCCGGACCTCATAAGGAAACGTGGCTACCTAAAAGCTGGAATAACACGAAATAAAACCAAAGCGAAGTCCACAATCGAAGCAGTGGGAAGTCGAACTGTCGTCAACAACACCAAGCAACGAATCATCCAGCATTTCGCCGACATAATCGAGGTAAACAAGCTCTTGTCAACTCTAACCACTGAAGAAAATGATAAAGTAAAGATAGTAGAATACGAAGAGGAGGTAAGAGTCACTGTAGAAGAAATAGTTGATGA